AAGATTAAAGATTTATAAGGACTGTAATCCATTATTATTACTAAACTTAGAAAATCTACATATATATCTGAAGTAAAGTTCTGTCTAGAAAACATTATTCGCTGGCAATTCCTGAATTTACTTGGTGATAACAAATGTGTAATGTTTGGCATATGCTGAGCTTAGTAACAAATGAGATGTGTTGTATTAATTTACAAATGCAATGAGCTGATTTACTAAAGGCAAATAGGCTCTTTGCAAGAGAATTTTCCCTTAGTATACTAAATGAGGTGAAGCTGTACCGAGGTCCATCATCCAATCATGTGCAAGCAAGAATACTGTTATTTTTAATTTTTCTTCCATTCTTTGCTAAGTGAATTTTCACCCCATTGATAAGCTAAAGGAGCTAAAAGAGAATAATATTTGGCTTTAGCAAATCAACCCACTAGGAATTGAGAGTATGCATAAAATGAAACCGGGAAAAGTTGGCATGAGAGCCAGAAGGCCATGCGATGTATATTATTGTAAGCATGATTCATTTCGGCATTCAGCCTGGGTTCACACTTCTGGAAACCGCTGCGGGTGTTTATGTTAAGTTAACAACACCCCGAAATCAGTCCGCAAAATGCGGTGTGATGTGCAGAATTAGATCGCATGAGTGTGAATACCCATGCGATCCGATTCTAGTGCGGGACCAAAAAAAGGGTCCTGCACCTCTTTGGTGCGGATGCAGTGCGATTCAAGCCATACAAAATCTATGGCTCAATTTGCACCGCAAAGAATGCCCATGTGATTTGCACTGGAATGTGGTGCAGTTCCTGTGCGAATCACATGCGGTATGCCACACTGCACAAGTGAGAACCCAGTCACAAAGGTAGAAATATAAAAAACACAACAATTTGCTTCTTTTCCAAAAATATTTATTAACAATGTTACAAAAAATATTGTAACTTTAAACTACCACTTTATAAATAATACAATTCACTAATATAAAATATATGTAATGCTGGAAGCTGTAGCAGTTTAAATAGGACTTCAGGAGTTCAAAAACAAGCATTCGCATCCATGTATATCCAGTGCTTGTCTTGTTGCAGGTTCCTTTTATTTACTTCATGTACAAAATCATTTTTCAAAAGAAGGCATCTGTGTTGTGCACAGTAAGAGGTTCTAAATGTAATTTCTGTCCAGCAGATTAGAAAATGGAAGCAGGAATCTGACTTGTCCCATTAATGGGACAATTATGCCCATTTTTGATATATTTAATGATCCACAGATGGCCTTGTACTAAAAGTGTCATTTAACCCACAAAAATCACAAAATGCTGTATTACATGCTGTTCATATTCTTCAGTCACTATAGGATTCATTTACTGTATTCTGAAAAAAAAACTGGTTGATCCTGCTGTACTCTATTTCCCCCTCCTGTCCATGCCACTGATACAATTGGGGATTTTGCACTGTTGGCAGCTAGTGCACATGCTCAGTTTTCAGTGTATTTGCTACCCTGAGCATTTCCTCTCCATCACATCTGAGCAGCCCATGTGACTAGACAGTCATAGATGTGGGCGTATACACAATTCTAAATGACAGCCCACTCCCTCCTTCACCCTCCATGCCCACTAACCAGCTAATCACAATGAAAATGGGATATTACATCTTGACTGATGGAGGCTTCACCTACCTCCTATTCTATGACACAGGCTGGAGGGGCATGACAGCCTGTAACTGGCAGAAATCTGCCCAGACCATGTTATTGCCAAAAAATTAAGATTAGATTTCAAATATATATTTGTATGACAATTTATAAACCGTTTATTGATCTTAATTATTTTTACTGTTTTCCAAAGGCTGTTTTTTTTTTTTTATTTTGAACATGTGACCAGTAGCAGAGGACTGGATGTTCCTCCTGCCACTGTTTCTCTGGAGACAGGCTGGGAAAGAGCTGGGTCATGTAACAGCTGTATATTGATTAGGAAAAAAGGTACTTAGATTTTTTTTTTTATTAAACAAATTACAGTGCCATTATCCACATACAGAAAAAGAGATAATGTACACTAAACCATGTGTTTAGTATCACTTTAACTCACCATCAGCCTTAATTAGTAAAACAAAGAGCAATGCAAAAATGCAGTTGATTGTAACAATGTAATGGTAATTTTTTTCAGTTTTTCTCATTGATTTTGATTGGTTATCGATTACTGTACTCTGCACATCATCATTGATCTTTGATTTCCTTATTAAGCAAGTCTGCACAAGTTTCCTAAGCCATTAAAGAATATATACATTTGGAGGTCCTGCAGGATGTAAATTCACAAGCATGGCCAGCCTTATGTATGACTGTTCCTGGTCTCAGACCAGGAAACCATGACTGTGCGGGCCTAGAACATTTCATTCATATTAATAACACTGCACAGTTCTCATGTGACAGCACTCCATTGCCATAGTAAAGATAGACCCTTAAATGTTGGCCAAAATATCGTATTTGTGCTAGATTCCTTCTGACATAAAACCCTACCCTCTTTCTATTAAGCCCTGGCATTTGATCACTATACAAAAAACTGCCTCTTAATAAATACTGGGTAAAGTATGACCGGTTATTCCCACCCCCTAGAGATATGAACAACAATCCATTTATGAATTAGAATTTATTATACTAGAATCTGATGATATCATTGTCCCATATGTGAGGATGCTATTACATTATAAAGTATCATTGAGTTTGGCATGGGTCTGTTTTGCCTTCAGTCTTGGGCCTATGAGTTCTGGTCCTTAAAAAGCCTCCATAGATGTGCTCTGTTTAACCTGCATTTGAAAACGCATGTAAACAACGCATCAACCTCCTGAAAAAGTAAACAGATCCAGTGGCTTTAACTTTCTAAGAAGAACATGTAAGCAGATTAGATATATAAATATCAACCTTTAATTGGCACAATTCGATATTATGGTTATTGTTTATATGATGTGAATTATTTAAAGATTCTGATGAATCTAGAGGGTTTATTTTATTAAAAGAATAAAGGTATTTATAGATACTGAATGTCAAAGTTTGTTTCACGTACGTATTTTTCTGTCTATAGCAATGCAATAGATTTGTATTTGTGAAGCGAAAAACAAACAAAAAGCGCACCAACCTTGCGCATTACCTCAGTAAGCCAAAATTTATTAGTCACAGAATAATACTCACAAAAAGCTTTGAGGAAGAAGGGACGCCCTTCGAAACGCTAGATGTTACCTGAGTGTCCACTCCTATGATGAGACTCGCGCAGACTGCTTTTATCCTTAGTCCCTTTGTGGACTTACATGCATGATATACTTCATTGTTTGTGAGTATTATTCTGTGACTAATAAATTTTGGCTTACTGAGGTAATGCGCTGAGGTTGGTACGCTTTTTGTTTGTTTTTCGCTTCACAGTAGTGGTCGGGCTTCCCCATCCTTGTTTGAAGCTGCACAGCTGCATATGCACTGGTGGTAGAAATTTTCAAGTCCTGGTTCCATCTACCTACCCCGGGTTGGGTCACAGAGCGCAAGAGAGTTTGTTTTTCTTCTAGATTTGTATTTGTGTAAGGGGATAGATTAAGCTTTGGGTACTCTGCATCCTTTGTTATAGATTAGATATACTGACTTTTATTAAAGTATAACTAAAGGCAAAAGGTTTTCTTTAGTTTTGAACAGAGTGGGGATGGATTAGAACACCTGTCCATTTTTATTGCTACCTCTGCCCCTGTTAACGAGAATCACCCTCTCTATTTGTTCTACCTTTTATTATCAAAAGTGAAAGTAAAAGAAAAAAATCACAGATGTTGAATTTCCCCAGAAAAATAGAGAGGACATTTCCACTGGGCACACTAGTCCTGGTGACCTGGAGGGCCCCAAGGAATTCTCTTAATTTTCAGGGATTTTATCTCACTTGTTGTTTTGGCTATGGGACAGGAAGCAAAGGTAAATCTCCCCAATGGGACGCAGGTGGCTAAAAATAAACTGGCAAGGACTGTAACCCTCACTATCCAAAAGGAAAAAAAAAAAAAAAGTTTCACCTACAGTTCTACTTTGTTGCTTGTCCTAGCTTAGTGACTCAAAAATATTCAAATCCAGCCAGGATATTAGCTTTTATAGAAGGAAAGCGGCAATGACAAGCCTCATATGTCTCTCAGTATTGGTTTATTTTAAACCAATTTCTAAAGATATGGTATTTAGCCAAGCACATTCTACGATGTCCTGAATTATAATTTTTATATATGTATACATTTGCCTTTTCCTGCTATAACCTAATCAGCCATTACAAGATAGGAGATATGCGTGATTTCTAGAAAAGAGCATGCTTCCTGTGCCGTGGAATATTTATTTATTTCAGGTACTTCTATAGCGCCGTCAATTTATGCAGCACTTTACATATATATATATTGTACATTCACATCAGTCCCTAACCCTCAAGGGGTGTACAATCTAAGGTCCCTAACTCACATTCATACATACACATACTAGGGTCAATTTAGACAGGATACAATTAACCTACCAGCATGTCTTTGGAGTAGCAGCAATATAGTATTACTCACTAGAGACTTCTGATTGGGTAAGATTGGCTACATGCAAGCAGTTTGATACCATTATGGTCAAATAAAAACACAGAACACTGGTAGATACCAGCAGCACTTGCATTAAGATGGCTAAGAGTTGTCTACCTACTAGTATAAATGTAAACATGGTCCTTCCGGTTATTTCATGCCAAGTGTGAAGTCCCAACCATAGTAAAAACAACGCCAGTTCTGGCACACATAAGGAAGAACTTCATGACATTTCTTAGGTCTACTTCATTATAGCAACAAAATGATATTACATAATAAATTAAAGTAACCATGTGACAACCACCATTAAAAAATACACACTTGTGTATAGCTTTTGATACAGTTACATGTCCAGTGCACCTAGAATTCACACTTCTTTGCCTGTCTGTATAGCATTCCACAGGTAGGTAGTGTGATCTTTCTTCTTCTTACCAGCTATAGGACAGGTTCTTATTAAAGCTATGAAGACTTTTTCATTAACTCCAAAATGTTTTTAAATTGTAATCTTTCTGCAATGTCGACTGGACTTTCACCTTCCTGTTAAAGAAAAAAAACAACAACTGTCTTCCAATGTATAAATTAAAAATCACTTTTTTAATATTACCTACAATGCAGTGTGCTAGGTTTACTAATGGCAAATAAGCTGTTGACTTTGTAAGGGAACTTAACTTAGTGATTGTGGTGAAAGTTTACTTTGCAAAGAACACTTGCTAGGAAAATACAGAACAGTATTTTGCTTCCACATGATTGGATGATGGACGCCAGCAAAGCTTCACCTTATACACCAAGCTCTGGGGAAAATTCCTTTGCAAAGTGAACATGATATACATGACAGTGGGATCTCTGAATAGTATCAAGAAACATTAAAGTGAACCTTGCATGAAAGTGCAAGCTCATGCTATTTACACATCCCCCCTACACCACATGCAAAATCCAAAGTGACATCTAGACAAAAAAAAAAAAAAACCCATTAAAGTGACACTAAACGCTGGTTTTAAAAAAAAAAATATTTTCAAACTGTACTTCTATTGCTCTGAGCCTTCTCCAAACTGGGAACTCACAGAGGCAGGTTATTACAGTAATACCAGCCCATACCAGAACCCCACTTTCACCTTGCTGGCATTTGAGTCAAAGTGGAGCTCTGTGCCCGTTACTGATCCAGCCACAGGCCCATCCATCTGGTCCATCAAAAGTCACTCATCTTATCAGTTGAAAAATCTGTCTTCAGATATTTCTTGGCCCAGTCTTAAAATTTCAGCTTGTGTCTTTTTCAGTGGTGGTCGGGCTTCAACCTTGGCCAAGTCTCTGAGCACTGAACACCTTGTACTTCTGGGCACTCCAGGTAGGAAGCAGATCTGGAATATGACAGCACTGGAGGATAATGGGTTCCTGGTAGCTTCACGTTTGATTCTACTAAAATCTTTCGCAATTAATTTGCGTCTTGTTTTCTCAACACATTTCTTGTGACCCTGTTGACTATTTGCAACAAAACGTTTGATGGTTCTGTGATCACGCCCCAATATCTTAGCAATTTTAAGCATCCTGCATCCCTCTGAAAGACTTTACAATTTTTGACTTTTCAGAGACAGTTGTTTTTTGGCCCATTTTGGCTGAAGAAAAGAAGCTGCTTAATAATTATGCACACTTTGATATTGGGTGTTGATCTCCTTAGGCCACACTCTCCCTCATTACACTAATACACATCACCTGAAATGCCAAAATCCAACAAGCATTCAAGTTTATACAGCTTGGAGTTGGACAATATGCATTAAAATGATGATTTGGTCAAGAAACTCACTTGCCTAATAATTGTGCACACAGTGTATATCTATATATAGGTGTTCATACACCCCAGTATAGTCTTTTGATGTTACTGGCATAATAATTTCACCAAAAAGTTTCAAGTGGGAGACAGTCGTAATAATGGCCAATTTGCTGATGATACGTATTACGAAGGCTACTTGTGTATGCATTTTTACAGAAAATTCTCTGAAAATATGAAGCCAGCATTGTGCTATTACCAGCTCTTTAGTGATGCTCACCTTATTTTTTATGGATGGATTTGCATTGGCTTCAAGCAGTATTGGTATTATGGACTGGGTCTTCATTTTGCAGGCATAGTGTAGGGCGGTGTTTCCACTCTAGAGAAAAAGAAAGCCATCTGTTATTCTACACCAGACTGTGGAGTGGCATCTCATCCTACAGAGTTTACAAAGAAGGTAATAAATATATAAAATACATATCGAGTATAAAAGAAAACAATTACAGTGCAGCTATCATATTTTTAATTATTTGTAATTGATTGAAACAATCTGATTTTTTTATTATGGATTTCATTTATTTATTTTCTTTGTTGCAGCTTTAAAGCTGAAGTTTAGTATATATGGTTTTAGTTATATGTAATGGTGTGTATCCTATTACTGGCAGATGGCTGCTTCTGATAAAATCATCCCGGAATCGGCTTCACAGCAACCAGATACTGTCTGGAGTGTCTATCCTCTGATGTGGTAAAGGTTAACAGCAGTGGACACTATGGAGAAAAATTGCTCAGCTTCTCTCCCACCCCCATCTGCTCTGTCTGCCGTTCACAGAACTCCTATTACTACCTTCCCACAATGCACTGCATTACGTGAACGGTGGAGGAGCAGTTGGATGACAGGATCTCTTCTGTAATGTTCTATGACTTCATAATAATTTGGGCCACAGGGTTCCTATTTTTTATCTTCGTAAAGAAAACTACAAATTTAAACTCACACTGTGGTAGTCCTGTAGTAGTATTTTCAAAGACAGAGCCATGGTTAAGCAACCACTGTATTTTGTCATGTGACCTTTACCTAGAGTTACTACTGGTTGACTAACCAACATTTTAATAAAATATTATACAGGATTTATATAGCACCAACAGTGTGCACAGCGCTTTACAAAGTAAAGGTAGACATTGCAGTTACAATACAAAACAGAGGGCCCTGAATATACAATATATATGATGTTAAGATGACACACAATTATAAAATTATATATTTTTAAGGAAAACAGAATAGCTACTTAGTTTCATTTATATTGTCTATGTTAGGCTCATTTACACCATCTGTGCTGAACTGTATTGATCCACACAAATCAAGGCAGGCTCAATGCTAAGGCTACATTCAGACCGGTGAGGGCTGGTGGGAATCGCAACGGCAGGAATCAGATTCATGTTGCGGCTCGGTGCGGCCCCTGGCCCCATTCACTATGACAGGTTGCCAGCGGACGCAGCTGTTCGCGGTTCTCTGCATAGCCAATCACCACCTAAGGTAGTTGCTGGCTGTGTGGACACCTGCGAACAGCTGCAGGTACATTGTCATTGTGAACGGGGCCAGGGGCCGCACCTAGCCGCTGAGATTCTGGCCACTATGATTCGCACTGGCCCTAATCGCTGGTGTGAATGTAGCCTCAGGCACATGGAAAATAAATATTTTTTTATGTGCCTCGTTCATACTACCACACTGCAATGAAGTGCGGTGTGCTACATAAAATGTCGATACGCTGCATTTTTACACAATGCCACATCACCATACCGCAGCACACTGTGGTGCATATGCTTTAATAAAGTAGCATTTTGTTATACTTTCATAATGCTAAAGTGAAATTCAACTCTAATGCTAACTGTTCTTAAAAATGTTCCCTCCCCCTCCTTCGACCTATCCTGTCCTTCTTTTGTAAAAATGATGTGCGTAATTTTTTTTTAAGTCCACTTTGGTCACGTTAAACCTTCACCTCCGGCTCCCTTGTGACAGTGTACAGCTGCTGCAGGGGGGAGAGGAGAAAACACCAAATTACTGAGTTTTTGGGAGCCTATGGGTGACATCATGGTTCCTGGAATTCCCAGTCATTGTTGAGCACTGACACAGGGGAGCTTGAGCTGCAGGATCATGTGACTGGACCAGAGAGGACAAAAAAAAATTAAGTACAAGCATACCTCGGTTTACGAACGCCTTGGTTAACGAAATTTTCAGTTTACGAATGAAAATAATGACTCAGTTTACAAATGTGTTTGCAATACGAATGGATTAATTGGTTTTCAATGCATTTACGATTTTTTTTAATCATGTCCCTGTACAGTACTATGTCTTTCAAGTGCACTTCATAAAGAGTTTTGAACAGATAAGACTGACTTTTCTGACCTCCAAAACAGATTAATTGGTTTTCAATGAATTTATTAATTTTATTTTGCAATACGAACGGATTAATTGGTTTTCAATGCATTTACAAATTCATTTTTAATCATGTCCCTGTACAGTATTTATGCATTTAAAGTGCACTTTATAAAGAGTTTTGAACAGATAAGATTTACTTTTTTATGACCTCCGGAACGGATTAATTGGTTTTCAGTGTATTCCTATGGGAAACCGTGTTTTGGTTTACAAATTTTTCGCAATACGAAAAGTCCCGGAGAACACATTAAATTCAAAAACCGAGGTATGCCTGCATAAGGTAAGTATACTGATCCTTTTTACACAGGGAAGCCAGGCTAGGGAGAGGTAGGAAGGAGGGAACATTTTTAAAACTAGTTAGTGTAAGTCTCAATCTCCACTTTAAGAAAAAAAGAAACTGCAATGTTCTGTAACAACGCATCACACCTTCTTTCACTGCCCCTCTACAATGGAACACCAGCCAGCAGCTTGTAACCATGCAGGCTGATGTTGAGGGGCCCTCATGGTAAACATAACCACTTGCCCTCCAGAAGATTTAACCCCCCTTCCTGACCAGGCCACTTTTTGCAATACGGCGCTGCATTCCTTTAACTGACAATTGCGCAGTCATGCAACGCTGTACCCAAATGAAATTTGTCTTTTTCCCCCACAAATAAAAAAAGTTCTTTTGGTGGTATTTGATCACCTCTACAATTTTTTACTACTTGTGCTATAAACAAAAAAACACTACCAATTTTGGAAAAAAAAAAACTTTTTTATTTTCTGCTACAAAACATCCAATAAAAAAATGTAAAAATCAAGTTTCTGTATATATTTAGGCCAAAATGTTTTCTGCGGTGATAAGCAACTTATAGCGGACTACGATACTGCGGCGGACATTTTTACACTGCCTTTGTGGGAACCAGTGACACTAATAAAAAGCGTTTAACATCTAGGGTGATCAAAGGGTTAAGTGTGTGCCTAGCAATGTGCTTGGTGTACACTAGGTGGTGCTTTTACTATGGGATGTGATGGATTGTGTTCTCAGGTCTGCAGAGACACAGGATTCATGACTACTTCCTGTCACAACAGAACTGTATCTATGTAAACAGATGCAGCTGTGTTCTGCCTCCCTACCCAATGATCTGAAGGTGCCAGTGAGCAACTAGTCACCGAGACTTGTAGATCGGTTTGTGCTGTGACATTTCACAGCAGAAGCAATCCTCCTGCGGCACGCGTGCCCCTGTGGTGAAAGTGCAAAATCAGGTGTCTGTATGTATGTGTATATATATATATATATATATATATATATATATATATATATATACACACACACACACACACACACATACACACACACACACACATACACACACACACACACAAACACACATGTGTTTTTGCACCGGAATGCCGCCCTGTAGCAGTAAAACTGCTATAGGGTGGATGATAAGTGGTTATAAAGGTCTTTCTTTTTTTTTTTAAACAAACATGTTATACGTACCTGCTCTCTGTGCAATGGTTTTGCACAGAGCAGACCCAATCGTCCCCTTCTCAATTCCCCTGCTGGCATTCCTGGCTCCTCCCTGTTGAGTACCCCCAGAGCAAGCTGCTTGCTCTGGGGGCACTTGTGCATGCTCACTGTAGAGCAACCTCTGTGTGTCTATGGGACTCTCAGAGCATGGCTCAGGCTGCCCCCAGCTCCCTCCTCACTGGCTGTGATTGACAGCAGCTGGAGCCAATTGCTTCATTCTTGTGTTAAAGCTTTGTAAATGGAGTCTTATGTTTAAAAAAAAAACAGGTAATAAAACATACCGGCTGTTTTGAAAGAATACAGAAGGATGGACTAGAAAGATATACATCATGTTATATTGTAAAGAAGTTACACATAGCATACAGTGAGGTTTTATTTTTTGTTTTGATGGAAGAAATTAAACTTTTAAATAGTCTCTTAGAGGAGCTGGATATCATTACTTTGGGGACCAATATCCCATCTAATGCACCTATTACACAATGGACCTAAACTACATACAGCTGTTTAATGTGTTTCTGTCAGCACAAGAGATCACTACTACCAATAAATCACTATTAGCCAGCTGAGGCACTTGTGAGCTGATGCTACATTAGGCTCGAGGCTCTTTCCCAGATTAGTGTGTCAGATGGTGGGTATGATAGTCTCAAAACAAGATCAGAAAGAAAGAATTGTAGAACATGACTGGCATTTTCAGAAAACTATCCTAATGTGTCCACTAAAAGGTTGTATCTGGTGGGCTGAACCATCTGGCTTCTTATATTTCTTAGAAAATCCATTGGCAAACCTCTTTGTCTGTCTTCCTGTCCAACTTCCCAGTCATCCTGTTACATTCTCTATAATATTAGGCAAAATAAAAATTCATCCAGGAGCGTTGGACCCACTTGTAATGCCTTTGGTAAATGTAGAGCTCATGGAACCCAAGGACAAAAATTGGATCACCTTTGTTCCAAAGATACAGGCCTGAGGCTTGAAAGCTCTACATACAAAGTGTATGTTATCTCAACATATAGTGGGAAATATGTATCCCTTCCTACTGCCGAACATCTGTAGTGAACTGTAAGACCAGCATCTCTGCATCCATTTCCAGCCAGCCCAAACTGGAGTCCTTCCAGGAAGGTAGAGTATTGGGTTACTGCTTCTGCACAGGGACCCTCAATACTAAAGCTTTAAGCAGGGATCACATTGTTACAGCAGAAGCAATGTTTCAGAGCATCGCAGAACCCCTTCATCAGGCATGTGACAATGCGATAATCACATGCCCGATAAAGGGGTTCTGCGAGGCTTCGAAACATTGTTTCTGCTGTAACAATGTGATCACTGATTAAAGCTTTGGACCCATTTTGGAGATCCGTGGTGTGCTGCTGCCATTTTTTCGCTCTGATTATCTTCGGTTCCAAGTGATGGTCACTGCAGCACCTGTCTACAAACACATCCATTTCTACAGAAAGGTGTGCATTGGGAATATAATGCCAGCACCAGGAATAGTCACACGAACATAAATATGTTGAGTACACTGCAGTTTTCAGGGGGGCAATCATTTGCAGAACATTAAGTGTGAGATTGTTGGGTTGTTTTATTCCTGAGCAAGCGTTGCTGATTGTACTGATGTTTGGTGACAAAGCAGGAGACTTATCATACTGGTGGGACCACCATCTAGTCAACGGGCGCCTACTCTCGGCACTCGTTGGTAACCCAACTTTTTTTCTCTCCTCATCCAAGGAATACCAACCTACCTGCTTAATAAAATCTTTGGTAAAAGAAAAACGGTCATTTACCAAAAGGTGGGGACAGGGTGAGGAAACTTTTGTAGGGAAGTGTGGTGGATTTTCAAACTACAAACTAGGCCCCTTCAAGGGCGAAATGTGAGATTGGACCTGGATTTACAACTATAAAACTTTTCCTCCCTCCCTTAATATGTTATCAGGAGCTCCTCTCCCCATAGAACTTTATCAACCTTCCCTGCTCCCTCCCTCGTCTATATACATATATACAGTCATGTCCAAAAATATTGACACCCCTGCATTTGTCAGATAATGCACCACTTTGCCCAGAAAATTGTTGCAATTACAAATGTTTAGACATTCTCGGGTTTATTTCTTTTGTTTGTATTGTTATGACACTAAAGTGGAGAAATAAAAAGCCAAATCAGACATTCCACGCAAAAACCCAAAAATGGACTGCGAAAGATTTTTGACACGTTCTCAAAATTGTAAGAAATAATTGCATTCCAAGTTTGTGATGCTCCTGTAAATTGTAATTAAACTCACCTGCTTCAATTAACAGGTGCTGACAATATACTGTAGAAATCACACGGGCAACCAGTTAAAATTGTGAAAAAAATTTACTCAACTATTCTTTTGCGTGTTTGTGTGCTACATGGAGCATGGAGAACAGAAAGAGCAGCAAAGAATTGTCTGAGGATTTGAGAACAAAAATTGTGGAAAAGCATGGACAATCTCAAGGTTACAAGTCCATCTCCAGAGATATAATGCTCTTGTGTCCACTGTGTGCAACATTGTCAAGTTTACAGCCCATGGCGCTGTAGCTAATCCTCCTGGACGTGGAGAAAAGAGAAAAATTTTAAAATTGCAACGAAGGATTGTTTGAATGGGGAATAACGAACATTGATCAACTTTCAGACAAATTCAAGCTGACTTTAAAGTGGAGCTCCACCCAAAAGGTGAAGTTCCATTAAGGATTGGCACCTTTGGGGAGTACCCAAAATTGACAGGTACCCATTCCTGCTGCGATCCACTATGCAAGCAGAAGCTGAAGTTGTCCTCCTACCCTCCCTCCCCGTAGTCTTCTGGGACATGTGACAGCAATACTTGCCCACACTGAAGATGCTGGCATCTGGAACACCAGACGGCTGGTGAAACGTGCTGCGGGTAGGACACCGCGGGATTGTAGGACAGGTGAGTGGCTCTTTTTTTAAAAGTCAGCAGCTACAGTTTTTGTAGGGTACAACTGTGTCAGCTCGCATTATACATCACCATCTGAATGAAAAGAAACCCTATGGCGGGATACCCAGAAGGACCCCACTGCTGACACAGAAACAAAGCCAGATTGGAGTTTGCCAAAACTTACCTGGAGGAAGCCAAAATGCTTTTGGAAGAATGTGCTGTGGACAGGCAAAACAAAATTACAGCTTTTTGGTAAAGCCCATCATTCTACTGTTTTCAGAAAAAGAAATTAAGCCTTTAAAGAAAATAATAGTCCCTACAGTCAAACATGGTGGAAGTTCTCTAATGTTTTGGAGTTGCTTTGCTGCTTCAGGCACTAGATGTCTTGACCGTGAGCCTGGCATTATGAAATGTGAAGACTACCAAAGAATTCTGGGGTGCAATGTAGGGCCCAGTGTCAGAAAGTTGGGTCTCCATCAGAGGTCATGGGTCTTACAGCAGGACAATGACCCAAAGTACACTTCAAAAAGCACCCAGAAATGGTTTCAGACAAAGTGCTGGAGAGTACTGAACTGGCCAGCAATGAGTCCATATCTCAATCCCATAGAGCACCTGTGGAAAGATCTCAAAAACAGCAGTTGGGAAAAGAAACTCTTCCAATCTGAGAGACCTGGAGTAGTTGGTGAAAGAAGAGTGGTCCAAAATTCCAGTAAAGAGGTGTAAGAAACTCATTGATGGTTACAGGAAGCAATTTATTTCAGTTATTGTTTCCAAGGGATGTACTACCAAATATTAAATTGAGGGTACCAATAATTTTGTAGATGCAGCTGTTTGTATGGCCCTATTGATTCATATAGTGATGTGTTTAGATGCGTACAAAACTATATGCTGTATGCAATTAAACACAATATTTTAGATGCATGCTTGAATGAGCCCTTAATTTGAAAATTGTTTAGTTTACCTAAATTTATACAGTGGAAGCTGTTGAACGGATACTATATAGGAATATTTGAAAAGGTATGCTGTAAGATGCTAAGAGATTGCTGATAATTCACAAAGAAGAAAGATACTAAGTTGGCTTTCCAGTCTCTAACGTCTAATATAATCCTATACACAAAAAAATATTAGAATAAAAAAACTACCTTTGACATTTTTATCAGGCAACAATCCTTTCATTACACAATGACAACATAAAACGTGTGAACATAGCATGACAATACAATATTCAGCTGATTTTCTATGACCTACGTTGTCTGCAGCATTGACATCAACACCTGAGTGCAGTAAGATGTTGATCAGCCTCTCATTCTGTTTGCTCTTTGAAATCTGTAAAAGGACACATTAAAAAAGTGTGATCACAATTATTCCAGAAACTTTCATTCCCTTGAATAATAAATATAGAAAAGTATCCTGTGATAAACTGGGATTGCAAAATATCTTAATGCATTTTTTTCATCTTTTATCTGTATGGTGCTTGAGTAGTACCTGTGATTCTTTTTACATTTGAACAGTTACATTTTCAGGACAAGCTTTCAGGGCATTCCCCTATTCTTGGAGTAAAAAGAATAAAACATCCCAAAAGCTTGTCCTGAAAAAAGGTACCTGATAGTGGCAATACAAAAAAACAAATATCACAGGCTGTATTAAACGGTTTCATCTTACATGGATGATATACAGTACAATAGATGCATGAGGAATATGACAGTTCTATTCTTCTAGAATAAGAATAGACATTTATTGGGATCAGGGGCAGACTGACCATTTGAGCACTCGGGCACTGCCCGTGGGCCCGGAGTCCGTAGGGGGCCCCATGAGATGCTCCGGTACCTTTTTATAGGCTTTTTTGGGTATGGGCGAGGACACGGGGCCCCATGATCCCCTATTGCCCGGGGCCCCATGAGTTATCAGTCCGCCCCTGATTGGGATACAAAGTTCTTGTTGTGCTATACCATTTGCTAATTGCTGCTTATTTTCATATTTCCATATTAAAACTGATAACATAATTTAGGTCCCTGCTACTTCACAAGTGTTCCTACAGCACTGTATATGTGACTCACTGCACATTGGGATAGCCACCTGGGGCACTTTTGAAGATCCTGACAATTTGAGCATTGAGGTTTTATGGTGTTCCTATAACTAATGAGGGCAGACTAGGTAGATGAGATGGGATAGCATAAGATAGGATATTTATGGCCTCTTCTTCTCAGCATGATATAGTTGTTAATGGCAGGAAGACATGATATATAGTAGCTACCACTAACTCCCAAAGATGGTAAAGCAGGGACAGTGCAGGCAACAAATTGTTCTTGATATTTAGTATTGGAAATTGATTATTTTCCCCCATCCTCTGGAACTCTCTACCCCAATTTATCAGACAATCGCCTACTCTGCTCACTTTTAGGCGATCTCTGAAAACCTCTCTTCAGGGAAGCCTATCCTGCCCTCAGCTAATAGAATCTTCTACTCCTACCAGTCCATCCCTCACAGTTATTACCTTTTGTTCCACTAACCCCTCCCTCAGATTATAAGCTCCAAGGAGCAGGGCCCTTCTATCCCTCTTGTATTGAACTGTATTGTCTCCCTTTATATTGTAAAGTGCTTAGCAAACTGTTGGCGCTATAAAGCCTGTATAATAAAAATAATTAGGTTATATTTGAAGATTTTTAATCATTGGATTAGTTTTCTGGCAGAATTGTATGTACACATAGACATGCATTCAGTCATATCCAAATCTTGGTGATTTGTAGGAAGGTGCAGCGTGGGTTGGCGGCAGTAAAGACACAGAGTCCAGTTGGAATAAAATGTGGAAATTGTATTGAAGAGAATGCCATATTGTAAACACCCTAGGCGGGATTCCAGGAATCACTGCAAGGGAAACACTCTCCGTTCCAATGCAGAGAGGCAGCAGGAGACAATGTGCTGACAGCATCTGTTTCAGAGGGCAAAGTATGGCCTGGTCGGTCCAGTTCCAATGGGGAGGCTTCCTTGAAGGATGGCAGAGCCTTATCCTGTCCCTTTTCATCTTTAACCTTTCCCTGCCTCTAATCACTTTCCCTCACAGGCATGGTCTCTATCCCTGCACTAACCAGTTAACCAAAGCATGCCAAAGCCCAGGGGCTGGGACCCATAAAGACTCTGCTGACCCAAGATGGCCTCCAGAGGTCAACGGTCCTTCCAAGAGCCAGGAAACCAGAGAAACTCCCCATAGTGTTTCCCCCGACTTGGCAACTGCCTATAGATTGTTTTCCTGAACCTTCCCCAATGGCTTGGCACCAGCATGCAGAATATGATAAACCATGTGCATAGCCAATTTGTACACATGTACTAGACCATTTTAGACAACAGCTGATTAACCTAGCATGTTTTTGGACTGGCAAAGGAAGCCAAGTACCTGGAGAAGATCAACAGGAACATGCAATCTGTATGCAAGAGGCAGAATTACAAGCACCTTTATTTTTATATTATGTGATGTTTCACTAAAATTTGAACTTGAGAAGCAGATAACCCGTGCCATATTTACAAAATGTGTGGTACAGTGTTGTTGTATATGTTGTGTGTGGTCAGGCATGGTGATTAAAAAAAGGGCGGACACTCAATGAACAAGGGGTGGAACAATATTGTGTGTGGCAGGAAGAGTTTATTCAATACTCTGAAGTAATCCTTAGGTTTAGGTAACCCCTGTAGCAATTGTGCACACAGATAGATGTGGTCATCCATCTTGCTAAGGATCCTCCATCTTGTACCATTCTCTCCCTCCAATCCCCCTCCCTCAGGAATGTGGTCTGTATGTATGCGGAGATCAACGGCATCAGGCCCAGCAGGGTAGCTTCATGGTTATAAACCCCAGTTAGCCTGGGCCCAGTATGTCTGTGAGACTCTTGCTTGATGCTAATCGTAAAGCCATAAACCCCGTCAGTCACTGGACTTCAAAAGACATTCCGAAATAGCCGCAAAACAGACAGCACATTTAAAACCCACTTTTCCATATAATTTATTATCTGAAGATAGGAAATAATTACAATCAAGCTAAGCATATATTCGGATAGCTCAGTTTAATGTGAGACGCCTGATATCTTACACCCCTAGTTGAAGTCTACAGGAGAGCAGAAAGCCATATAGTTCTAGCTGGAATAGTAAGATATGGCATGTTTGAGATCTAGACATTCAGCAAATGATTCTGCATATTAATCTACTAGTGTCTAGGCTGCTACATGTACCTAGGGAAGGTTATTGACCATGGTATAACTTGGGAGGGATTTGGTCATAGCCTGAGTTCCCCCTGTCTAAACACCCCTCCCCAAATGAGGCGATTGGTTCTCTGCTTTAAGGAGACACCCTGCTGAGTTCCTAGAAAAGAGGCTGTTATGATTGGAGCAGTGAGTTGAAGAATTCTCCATTTTAACATCGGAACCAACTTTGGGAGAAAAGACACCCTTTTGCTCAAGACCCTTGAATCTGCTTAACACAGGACTTTTGTCAAGTACTCTACCTCTCTAAATTTCTGTTATCTCCCTGTTGTGTTATTGCTCTCTGTATATACATACACACACACATCTTTTTTCTGTAAATACTTTTATTGCACCATTTTGACCTTTTTAGTAATAAATCTTTTCTGAAAAGTGTCGAACTGTTTCTAAAGCTCTTTAATACAAACTAAGAATCCCTGTCTCTGAAGAGCTCTACTGTGTTTTAAACCTCTATATACATCTGCCTGCGGTCACAGTGTGTATACAGACGATTATTCAATCATCATAGTGTTATTGCTAATATTGGCGCATTTCCTCCTTTTCACTACAAAAAAGGCGGTGGTGGTGGCAGTGTGAAGGGTTAATTGCATAATTAACCTGACCCAGTAACAATTGCTCTCAGGCTGTTGGCACATAGAATGTGGTCCATTAACTGGAAAATCTTGGTGCAGGGTGAAGCTGAGTGTGGCATTGTTACGCACGTGACAGCGCGGTTTTAGATTGGCTAGTCCTTCAGTCACGAGTTAGTGAGAAGGGCTGAGGGTCTGATGCCGTGATCGTCACAACCCCCTCATGGCCTGATCCTTACCTGAATGTAGTAGGCGATGCACAAATTGGTCTGAGTATGGCTACCAGTAGTTGTAGAAACACAACCCAATCAAAACCTTTTCTATACTCACCATGATAACATATCCAATGAGCATAACTGGCATCAGGATTACAATCAATAAATAGTCCAGGAAACTGAACCTTTTCCTTACAGCATAGTGCAAACATGTCCTTTCTTTCTGTAATCAGATAAGAAGAAATGGCATTCGGTTGAAATGTCAGCATGTCACCTTCAGTTACCATTGAATGTAATCTAAATGTATGTTTGATTTGTGGTTAACACTAGTATTGACAATGGAAAGTGTAGCAAAGAGAGACTGGTTGGTAAAGGCATTTTAATACAAATGAGGGAAAAGGGATTGTTCATATTAAAGTATATTGGTAATCTAAGAACAGAACAACCTTAAGGCAAACAAAAGTATTTGGCAATTAGAAAACAATCTTTCACTGATCTGTCAGGGCATGGGAAGTTCTTGAGGCTGTAGACAGATCAGAAGAGCTCAGTGTTTTAGTGGGATGTGGTTCCAGCACCAGAATTCCATGGAATAAAGTTTCCATATAAGCAAAGGAAAATGCATAAACATGCCAATAAGTGCAGCAATCAAATCAAGACAAAGGAACACCAGTTAATCAATAACCTTCCTCCACCTTGCAATGTTGGTAAGCATCGATATATTCCAAAGGCAACAGAAAATCATAATTAAAAGCAAGATTCTATGATATGATATAAAAATATTAAAGCAGAATTGTATGCAAATATAAAATACCTAATTTTACCTAATCAAAGTGTTTTAAATAGTCCCTCAGACTGTTTTTATTTAGCCACCTATCGTTTTCTATACTACAAGATTTAGTTAGGGAGCGTCAGAACTACCAGTAAATCAGCTGTTACTACTTTGCACAGGAAGCAGGCTGATAGAAGGGGAGAGCACAGAGCTGACATCAGTAGTTTGTTGCTGCTCTTTAACAGTCCAGTCACAGGCTGTGGAGGACCTTGAAAAAGATCTCCATTTCTTTATTCCTCCAGCACAGCGCTGCCAATGTGCCAGGATAAGAAAATCTCAGTGCTGGGGATGAAAATACCAAAAATAGTTTCAGGAAAACATTCACATTCATTATACAGGAAAATAAAGATGGGGCTGGAGTTAGTGCTGGCTTTAATTCCCCCAAAGAATGCCCATAAATTGGGCTTCAGTCTGGGGTGGAACTACAGCCAGCAGAAACAGAAAAAAAAGATGTGCTATTACAGCACAATGGACAGTGTGGGAGCAAGTGTGTCCTGCACTTGGTCCCCTAGATTATTCCAAGTATATACAGTGGATATAAAAGTCTACACACCCCTGTTAAAATGTCAGGTTTCCGAAATGTAAAAAAATGACACAAAAATAAATAATTTCAGAACTTTTCCCATCTTTAACCATTTGCCCTCCTGAGGATTTACCCCCACTTCTTGACCAGGCAATTTGTGCGTTATTTTAACTGACAATTGCACGGTCATGCAGCACCCAAATGAAATTTACGTCCTTTTGTCCCCACAAATTGAGCTTTCTTTCAGTGCTATTTGATTGCCTATGCATTTTTAATTTTTTGCGCTTAAAAAAAAAAAAAAAAAAAAAAAACACAATTTTGAGAAAAAAAACAATATTTTTGGCTTTTTGCTATTAAACATGTCCAGTAAAAAAAATGTAAAAAAAAATCAAATTTCGTCATAAATTTAGGCCAAAATGTATTCTGCTACATGTCTTTGCTAAAAAAAAAATCCCAATACATGTAAATTGGTTTACGTGGAAGTTATAGCGTTTACAAATGGCGGTATAGATACTGAAATTGTTTATTTTTACTAGTAATGGCAGCGATCAGCAACTTATAGCGGTACTGCGGCAGGCATTCTGACACTGGGGGGAACTGTCTTGGTGTCAATGACATCCCCAGTGACACCAATACAGTGATTAGTGCTAAAAAAAGAAAAAGAAAAAAAAAAAAAAACCATCGACACTGTACTAAGGGCACTGGGCAGGAAGGGGTTAACATGAGGGGCGATCAAAGGGTTAACTGTTTCACTGTAAGCTCTGTGTGTGTGCTTCACTGTAATCACACTGCTTTGGATGGCTGTGAAAACTGGTCTGGGAGGCTGCCAATAGACCTACAGCAACATTAAAGGAGCTGCAGGAGTATCTGGCAAGCACTGGCTGTGTGGTACATGTGACAACAATCTCCTGTATTCTTCATATGTCTGGGCTATGGGGTAGAGTGGCAAGATGGAAGCCTTTTCTTAGAAAAATATCCAAGTCTGGCTGCATTTTACAAAAACACATCTGAAGCATGTGGGAAATGTGTTTATGGTCTGATGAAACCAAGGTTGAACTTTATGGCCATAATTCCAAAAGATATGTTTGGTGCAAAAACAACACTGCACAACACTAAAAGAACACCATACCCACAGTGAAGCATGGTGGTGGCAGCATCATGCTTTGGGGCTGTTTTTCTTCAGCTGGAACTGGGGCATTAGTCAAGGTAGAGGAATTATGAACAGTTTCAAATACCAGTCAATATTGACACAAAACCTTCAGGCTTCTGTTAGAAAGCTGAACATGAAGAGGAAATTCATCTTTCAGCATGACAACGACCCAAAGCATACATCCAACTAAACGATTTCAGTTTGTTGTTCAATTGAATTGTACAATTTATAGATTACAATAAAAGGTGGAAAAAGTTCTAAAATGATTTATCTTTGTCTCATTTTTTTACATAACAGAAACCTGACATTTTAACAGGGGTGTGTAGACGTTTTATATCCACTGTAGAGTTATCAATAGACAACGCATTTGTTTCATTCGGATGACGTCACATGATGCAATATTAGTTCAGGCGCAAGGGAAAATTAATAAAATGTTCATATTTGTTTGATAATTTGGATAACTAATGGATTCGAAATTCGTTCCATTCGGTAATTCGGATGCACATGACACCAGTTGATATTGTCCAATCAGTTCACAGCATTACTTTTGGTGGGTTGGACTAGCGTCTGAAAAGATCAAATCCTTCCAAATTTGAGTCCGTTGATTCGATAATATATTGAAAATCTAGCGATCTTCTGGAAAAACTGCAAAATTTTTTTGAAACAACTCAGACCAATGAACATACAAAACAACTGCCAAAGAAACGAATTCCAAAAACTAAGCGGGTCAACATAATGAATATGATAAAACTAAATTCTGCAATGAACAAATACATCCGGAATGAAACATAAAATTTCTCCAGTACACGTCTAGTTATCAAGTCTTGGTAAGAAACAGATTAGTGCAGGATCCTGTTGGTCCAAATTGACCAGAAAAAAAGTCAGCTGTCATTTTTTTTGCACAAATGTTTGCAACAAAGCAAAATACCCAGAACAGACAACTTGAAACAAGAATAAAGTCAATAAATGTCATGTACTTTACAATATATTGGAATATGGTGGCTTATGAATGTTTCTACTTCTAGAAAATACTTTTTACTTACATCATTTCGGAGGTTTACATCTGCTTTCATAGACAGTAAATAATTGACCATTTTAATATGACCACGCCGACAGGCACATATCAGTGGAGTGTCACCACCAAAACTGTCCTTCACATTCACATTTTTGGGATCTTCTGCCAACAGGAGCTCAACCTCATTAACGTAATTTCCATATGCAGCTTGACAAATTGGCTGGTAAAAAAAACAAACAAAAAGAGTTAAGTCAATGACTGATGATGAACACTAATCTAAAAGCATTCTATTGTTTTACAATGAGGAGTGGTTGTATATGGTTTCTTCCATTCCTTTCACTATGCAGTCATCAGGGATCTGACATCCCAAATGTTACTGGCCAACCTTTCCGCAGCACAATCTTATTGTAAAATTTTCCTTTAAACTTACCAAAAACATAAAATGAGTGTGACAGGAGTCACTTTGGGTGGGGGGCCCATGAAACCCAGCTCACTTTGGAGAGGTGGGGAGACCCCCGTCTCAGTTCTCCATATTCCTCTTATGTGTAAGTCACCCTGTGCCTGTTAGGGGTACAGGGTGATCTGTCCTAATACTGGGTGTGGGATTGTTGATTGTTTGATGTTACGTGGTTGCATCCCATTGTTCTATTGTGTGTCTGGCTTGGGAGTAAACTATTATGGGATGTATGCGTTTATGTGTAGTAGCTTGGTGGTAGTGGTGGTGGTGGTGGTGGTGGGGGGGGGTGTCTCCAGCATCTCTCCCTCCTGATGGGACTGTCTGTTGGTGTGTCTCTTGTCACATGTAGATTGCCCTGCCCTGTGTCATTATGCAGGGAGGGGGGGATTGTCCCCTTGAGTGTATATATCTTGTATCTGTGTTCAAATAAAGTAGTCTTGTATGGTCTGCTGTGGTGTCTGTTGGTGTTCGGACAGGGAAGCGGTAGTCTAACGGAAGTACCCAAGCGCAGTCTGGGTTCTGTTCCGTTACAATGAGATCAAATCTAAACAACACTTTCAATTTGTATCCAATCAGGCAGGCCCTTGCACCACATAGTTGAAGGTAAATCTAAAGGAGCTTGTACAGAAATTGTACAAGAAAATTGAATGATGTATGGCCAGCTTTAGATTGGCTCTGCTAAGTCAAAATCTGAAAAGTTCGAGCAAAAAAGAATATAGCTCATATGATTGTGCCATCAATTGCTTTGTTTTTCTAATAAAAATGCATAATGTTGGATCAGGCACTTTCAATTGTGGTGCAAAAATCGCATGTCACCACTAGCACACTAATTATGTGAAAAACGACCGATTCAAAATTTTCATTCGGTTTTCACATAGTCTATGGCCTGCTTGTGCCACACAAACAGAAATCCAAACCTTGTATATCTGGATTACAGTTATAGGAATAAGGACACCACTATAGGCTGTTCCATACAAAAGGTCAGAGATTTGTAAAATAAGGGTGTGCGTTTCTCCATTTTCGGTTTCTGTAAAGAGGCACCAACAACAGCTGCATAAATCGCACTTTCCACAAGGTGATCGCCAGTCAAATCTAAACTCCAGCCTAACCTTCCTGCCTGCACAGTTGTACAGGCTCCTCTCCTGTACTAAAATTGCTTGCTCTGATTTCACTGCATACTGTTAGCTTCTCACAATGTGCATTAGAAGCTGCAGCAAGTTTAGTTCTGTTTAGTATCATGTATATTAGTAATGGTATCTCTCGAACACAAATTCATGTGGCCTACACTGCCACTATAAAGAAAGTAATTATCTGTAGAACATGATCCATTTTTGTTTGTCACACTGAACTGGGAATGAGCAAGTGAGCAATGTGTGTTTTCTGTCTCCTCTTTAGATACAGGCATACCTCGGTTTACAAACACCTCGGTTAACATAATTTTAGGTTTACGAATCAAAATCCACTGAAAATAATGCCTTGGTTTACTAATTTTTTCACAATACGAACAGATTAATTGGTTTTCAATGCATTTACAAATTAATTTTTAATCATGTCCCTGTACAGTACTATACCTTTAAAGTGCAATTTATAAAGAGTTTTGAACAGAAGAACTTTTTTCTGACCTCTGAAACGGATTAATTGGTTTTCAATGCATTTACGAATTCATTTTTAATCATGAAACTGTAGAGTATATATTCCTTTTAAACCAGTGGTTCTCAACCTTTCTAATGCCGCGACCCCTTAATACAGTTCCTCATGTTGTGGTGACCCCCAACCATAAAATTATTTTCGTTGCTACTTCATAACTGTAATTTTGCAGTGGGAGGACTAGTGCCCCATCGTTGGTGTCAGTGGGGGGAATAGTGCCCCATCGTTGGTGTCAGTGGGGGGAATAGTGCCCCATCGTTGGTGTCAGTGGGGGGAATAGTGCCCCATCGTTGGTGTCAGTGGGGGGAATAGTGCCCCATCGTTGGTGTCAGTGGGGGAATAGTGCCCCATCGTTGGTGTCAGTGGGGGGAATAGTGCCCCATCGTTGGTGTCAGTGGGGGGAATAGTGCCCCATCGTTGGTGTCAGTGGGGGGAATAGTGCCCCATCGTTGGTGTCAGTGGGGGGGGGGAATAGTGCCCCATCGTTGGTGTCAGTGGGGGGAATAGTGCCCCATCGTTGGTGTCAGTGGGGGGAATAGTGCCCCATCGTTGGTGTCAGTGGGGGGAATAGTGCCCCATCGTTGGTGTCAGTGGGGGGAATAGTGCCCCATCGTTGGTGTCAGTGGGGGGAATAGTGCCCCATCGTTGGTGTCAGTGGGGGGAATAGTGCCCCATCGTTGGTGTCAGTGGGGGGAATAGTGCCCCATCGTTGGTGTCAGTGGGGGGGAATAGTGCCCCATCGTTGGTGTCAGTGGGGGAATAGTGCCCCATCATTGGTGTCAGTGGGAGGAATAGTGCCCCATCATTGGTGTCAGTGGGAGGAATAGTGCCCCATCATTGGTGTCAGTGGAGGAATAGTGCCCCATCATTGGTGTCAGTGGGAGGAATAGTGCCCCATCATTGGTGTCAGTGGGAGGAATAGTGCCCCATCATTGGTGTCAGTGGGGGGAATAGTGCCCCATCATTGGTGTCAGTGGGGGGAATAGAGCCCCATCATTGGTGTCAGTGGGGGGAATAGAGCCCCATCATTGGTGTCAGTGGGGGGAATAGTGCCCCATCATTGGTGTCAGTGGGGGGAATAGTGCCCCATCATTGGTGTCAGTGGGGGGAATAGTGCCCCATCATTGGTGTCAGTGGGGGGAATAGTGCCCCATCATTGGTGTCAGTGGGGGAATAGTGCCCCATCATTGGTGTCAGTGGGGGGAATAGTGCCCCATCATTGGTGTCAGTGGGGGGAATAGTGCCCCATCATTGGTGTCAGTGGGGGGAATAGTGCCCCATCATTGGTGTCAGTGGGGGGAATAGTGCCCCATCATTGGTGTCAGTGGGGGGAATAGTGCCCCATCATTGGTGTCAGTGGGGGGAATAGTGCCCCATCATTGGTGTCAGTGGGGGGAATAGTGCCCCATCATTGGTGTCAGTGGGGGGAAATAGTGCCCCATCATTGGTGTCAGTGGGGGAATAGTGCCCTATCATTGGTGTCAGTGGGAGGAATAGTGCCCCATCATTGATGTCAGTGTGGTGGAGGGGGAAATAGTGCCCCATCTTTGGGGTCAGGGGGGGAATAGTGCCCATCGTTGGTGTCGGTGGGGGGAGGAATAGTGCCCCATTCTTGGTGTCAGTGGGGGGAGGAATTGTGCCCCATCGTTGGTGTCTGTGGGGGGGAGGAATAGTGCCCCATCGTTGGTGTCTGTGGGGGGGAGGAATAGTGCCCCATCGTTGGTGTCTGTGGGGGGGGGAGGAATAGTGCCCCATCGTTGGTGTCTGTGGGGGGGAGGAATAGTGCCCCATCGTTGGTGTCTGTGGGGGGGGAGGAATAGTGCCCCATCGTTGGTGTCAGTGGGGGGGAGGAATAGTGCCCCATCATTGGTGTCAGTGCGGGGGGGGAGGAAATAGTGCCCCATCATTGGTGTCAGTGGGAGAAATAGTGCCCCATTGTTGGTATTAGTCACACAAATGATGGGGCACTATTCCTCCCACTGACACCAATGATACTTACCTTGCTGACCCCTGCTCCAGCCTGGGCTCGCGCTCTCTCACTTACCTGTCAGCTGTCTTCCTTCTCTGGCCGCTCTCCTCTTCACTTACTCCGGCAGTTCCCTCGATCTTCTTAGATCTACGCGCGCTGCCGCTCGGCTCCTCCTCTCCAAGCTCCACCTCCTCGCCAGTGATTGGCCGCCTGTGTGCCTCTCCTGAGCTACAGTTCCGGTGGCCAATCAGCGGCGAGGAGGCGGAGTTGTTGAGGGATCCCGGAGGTGTGGCCAGGTGACAGGGCAGCGTGTCATTCCGCCCACACATCGACTGAGTCAGAGGAGCGGTGTCTCGGTTCCTAAGACCATCGGAAATATGTGTTTTCCGATGGTCTTAGGCGACCCCTGGGAAATGGTCGTTCGACCCCCAGGTTGAGAACCGCTGCTTTAAAGTGTACTCTTAAAGAGTTTTGAACAGATAAGACTTTTTATTCACTTTTTTCTGACCTCCGGAATGGATTAATTGGTTTTCAATGCATTCCTATGGGAAACCGCATTTCGGTTTACAAATATTTTGCAATACGAAAAGTCCCGCAGAACGCATTAAATTCATAAACCGAGGTACACCTGTACTGCAGGCTGCATTTTTGTCATACCTCACACTCAGTTCACCAATAATCCTGTAACACATGTGATTACTGCCAGCGGCTATGGCAACTAGTTGTGATTGTTGTGTTCTCCCACCAGCAGAACACAATAGTGCTGCGGGAGGCATTCCTTCATCAACATTGACTGTGTGATGGGGGAATAGAGTGATTTTCTTTCCTTCCACCCAGGGGCGGACTGACCATTTGGAAACTCGGGCACTGCCTGAGGGCCCGGGGTCAGTAGGGGGCCCCATGAGATGCCCCTGGTACCTTTTTCATAGGCTTTTTTGAGTTTGGGCAAGGACACAGGGGCCCCATGATCCCCTATTGCCCGGGGGCCCCATGAGTTGTCAGTCCGCCCCTGCTTCCACCATGCTTTGTATAATCTATGGCTTGCTTTAGTTATGGGTGTCGCCCTGTCTGTTCAGACTGGGTGTAAAGTCTGTTCACACCAGGTATGCTCATCTATACCTTGATTTACAGGTAGCTCAGAGATGGCCATCTATTTGGC